TTGCCCGTCTTGAAACTGTGATTCCCAGAAGACAACAATAATTCAGTATGTTATTTTTCAAGTGCTCATCCAAATATTTTTTTTTAAGGTTTTGTTGTGAAGTTAGGTAGAGCACTTGTGGATTGAGAGACAGGAAATTAAAATTTGGTGTTTGCAAAATGCTAGGGGGGAAAAGATTGCATGGTTGCTTTGAAAGGTCATCTGCTTTTTCTCTGCTGAGAGATTTAGAAAGGATGTCTGTGAGCAGCTGCTTGAAAGTTTGCAATTGCACAGACAGCACCTGAACTGACACATTTGTATTGAAAGGCCATTGATTTAGCAGGCCGAGCAGCAGCTTCTTTACCAAAACAATCGGCTTTTGCATTTGGCCAATCATCTGAGCCAGATGCTTAGATATCAAGAAACCTATTAAATTTAAGTCTGATGTTTAAGACAGCATAGGACCAATCTGTTTTAAGAAATATTGATATGCCATCCAGGATACAAGAAGAAGAAAGCAGTTGGAAACCGATCTCAGAGCTAGTTGTCATCTGAAAGATCTAACGGCGCTCAGCTCTCAAGAAAAATTCACTGGCTCTCACAGCCTTCCTCTATGTATTAGAGAAAGCAACATTTAAATAATAAGGGTGGAAATAGCACAACTAGTTAATATTACTGACTGAACAATCGATGAAGAAGGCACAAAACATTCCGGAAGAAGTAAGCTGGCTGCAATTTCGAGGCACTAAAGTTTTCTTTCACATAAGTGGGCATTTAATTTATTGGAACAGCATGCCATGACAGTCGTGTTTTATTTGGGAATAGTTAGTAGTCAGAAGGGATTTATTTGATTTGTTAATAGTTTTGTTAATTTTTTCACTGGTTGCATTAGATAAATAAAATGTTACTTTTTGCTTTTAAAGTGAGTGTCAGGGGTTTTATTTAACGACAATAATTTGCTGAAAAGCATGTTACAGCACTTTTCACACTCCTTTTGTAGATTATAAGGTGAGGTAACCCTCTTTGGGTGTTTGGTTTTAGTTCTTGTGGGGGAGGGGTGGTGGTACGGAGGGTGTCAACCTCTGTCTTATAACAGTTGTAAGATTTCTGACGTTCACTACCTTCCCAGTCTGTGCATTCCATATTCCCATCACCCTCTGAGTGAAAACATTTTTTTATTTCGCAAATCGCCATTGTATCTCCTGCCCCTTACTCTAAAGCTCTGCCCCATCTTGACTGACCCCTGAACCAAGGGGAAGAGTTGCTCTCTACTTACGCTGTCTACATCCCTCATAATCCTATTTATACCAATCATGCCTCCCTTCTCACTTTTCTATTCTCTAAAGCAGTGAAGCTGAACCTATCTAGTCCCTGCTTATAACTCAATTGTTCCATCCCAGGCAACATCCTGGTGATTCTTTTCTGAACCCCCTCTCGTCCTATCACACCCTTCCTATAGTGAGGCGACCGCAACTGCACACAGTACTCCAACTATGGCATAACACATACTCTGTACAACTCCAAATTCATCTCCTTGCTCTTATACTCTATGCTGCAGCTGATGAAAGCTAGTGTTCCATATGCCTTATTAAATATCCTATTCACTTACTCTTCTGACTTTGGGGATCTACAAACAATTACCCTGCGATTCTTAAATAACATTTGCCACTGCCCCGCTCATCTGACTAACACATCTCCATCTCCCTAAAACTAGAACCATGTTCTTCATTATTAATCACCTTGCCAACCTTGGTGAAGTCAACAAACTTGCTAAACATTAGCCCACATTTTCATCTGTATTGCATTATATATAACAAAGAATAATTCTCACAGTCTTGATCATTGTGGTACAGTGCTTTACAATAGCCTCCAATCAAACTATCTTCTACCACTACCCTTTGTGACATTTTACTAAGTTAATTTTTTTATCCATCTTGCGAATTTTCTCTGATTTCCATGTGCTTGAAGCTTTTCAGTCTCCAGTGTGGGATCTTGTCAAAACGTTTGCTAAAACCCACATAAACTACATGAATTGAACTTCTTTCCATACCAACTCATTTGATCACACTTTTAAAAAACATAAGTTCTAACAGATTTGTCAGCGATGACCTCCCGACAACAAAAACATACTAATAGCTCCTAAGTAACACACGACTTTCCAAATTGATGTTAATTTTTATTTCCTTCAGAACATTTTCGAAAAAAAAAAGAATTAACTAACACTGACATGAGATTCACTAGTCTGTAATTTCCTGTTTCATCTCTACTACCCTTCTTGAAATGTGGGACCACATTCCCCATCCTCCAGTCCACTGGCACGTCCCCATGGCCAAAGAGGAATTAAGAATTTGCATCAGAGTCTCTGCAATTTCCTGCCAAACCCCCAGCTGCACGCGGGAATCCAATTCATCTTGGCAGGGGATTTGTCCATTTTTAAGCCCGACAGAGCCCCCATGCTTTCCCCTTTCCGATGTCAACTGTGCAAGTTCCTCACAGTCCCTTTTCTTGAAATCCGTACTTACTTTTTTCTTTTCAGTAGTGAAGACCAAAGCAAAGTATTCACATAACATCGTCCCAATACCCTGCATCTTTCCCTGTTTAACCTCTTTCCTTTCATGTATTTATAAAATACCTTAAATTTCTCCTTCATCCTGTTCATGCATCCTTTTACATACCCCATATTTTTCCTGGTCTTCTAATTAATTTCTAAAGTTCTCTCTTGCACTTCCTATATTCCTCTACTGACACAGCTGAGTTGCTCCATTTCAGCTTGTTGAAGCCTTTCTTTTCTTCCTAATCCAGTCCGGAATTTCCCTAGACATTCAAGGTCCTCTGAACGTATTGATGCTACATACACCCCGAAAAGACTCATATTGGATCTGTACTCTCCCCAGGTCCTTTCTTGTTGCCATCCCACTGCTCTGCATTAGACTTATCTTCAGGGAGCTCCTCCCAGTTAACTGTGGTCAGATCCTGCTTTAATTTATTAAAATCTACCTTCCCCAAATACAAAACCATCTTTTAAAGGCTATCCCTTTTCTTCTACATTACAAATTTGAACCACATTCTGTTGTAGTCACTGTCACCTAAATGCTCACCATTTGCCACATCAAACCGTTGTTACACTCCTTTCCTCAGAACCAGATCCAGTGCATCAGCTTTGTTGGAACTTCTACGTAATGATACAAAAAAAACTCACCAGATACACTTCAAGAAATCCAGAGCTCGAAACTCTTAACACTATGAATATCCCAATTTATGTTCAGAAGTTGAAATTTCCCTGGGATAATTATCTGATTATTACACTTACACAATTTTGTGAACTGTCTACATGTTTGTTCTGCTATTTCTGATTGTCCTTTCGGGGCTGGAAAACACTCCCTGTAAATTGGCTGCACCTTTAACATTTTGAAGTTTTTCCCACAAATCCCTGTTTGAGGACCTTTCCAAGATGTCATCTCTCCTTATTTCAGTAATTGATTCCTTAATTTATAGTGGCACATGACCACACTTTTCACACACACCTCTGTCTCGCTTAAAGATCCTTTTCCCCTAGAAGATTGAGCTGACAGTCTAGCCTTCCTTCAACCATATTTCTGTGATGGTAACAACATTACATTTTCGAGTGTAAACCCATGCCAATAACTCATCAGTCTTAACTATTACACTCCTAGCATTAAAGACCATCCAGCACTGATTTACTCTATTGGCACTTAACAGAGTTAAACTCACTCTGATTTTCGACTTCTGTTATAACATTAAGTGTCTCTATTTCATCAATATTTTGTGTTCTTTCATTCTGCCACGCAAGTTTTAGAAGTTAAAAAATAACTAATAGACTTCTGTCTCTATGTGGTCCTGAACCCTCCATTCCTGTTCAAACCTATTGCTGTCAAGATGTCTCTTTAACGTTGCTATTGTATCAACATTCATCCACTCTTCCGGCAGCACAGTCAAGGCCCTTACCACCCTCTGTGGAAAGGTGTGGCTCTGAAAACTCCTTTGTATTAAACCCCTTTTACATTAAACCTATCTACCAGAGAAATTGACAGTTTTACCATGGGAAAAAAAATCTCCGACTCTCCCTTCCTCTCACAATTTTGTAACCTTCTATCAGGACACTCCTCATCTTTTGACATTCAAATGAAAAACAAAGTGGTAGGTACTCACGGAATTATAAGCATACGTGGCTACAGATTTGATTCATGCAATAAAATAATAGTTTATTTCACACAATGAATGAAGCTTTAAAAAAAAAACTGCATTGAACACAGTTTGTAAGCTTCAAAATCCATGGCAGAGCAAAACCCGATCTATTCCCTAACACCATCATTGTACTATTGAAGAAAATCAGAACACAGTATCTTTCCCTTCCGGTTGAATAGTTTGACTTAACAGCTTCTTTTCATTTTCTGTCCTGCGAGCTGGGAACTTTTTTCTCTTGATTACGTACAAAGTTGAGAACTTAGATTTCCTCAGTCTTCAATAATTCTGACCAAAAACTTGGTTTCTGCAATTTTCACAACCGACACTCTTTCTCCTGGGTACTGATTAGCTTGACTGCTCTGAACAGCTGAGACAACAAGGTGCAGGGCTGGATGAACACAGCAGGCCAAGCAGCATCATAGGAGCAGAAAGGCTGATGTTTCGGGCCTAGACCCTTCATCAGAAAAGGGGGAGGGGAAGGGGGTTCTGAAATAAATAGGGAGAGAGTGGGAGGCGGATGGAAGATGGATAGAGGAGAGGATCGGTGGAGAGGAAACAAACAGGTCGAAGAGGCGGGGATGGAGCCAGTAAAGGTGAGTGTAGGTGGGGAGTTAGGGAGTGGATAGGTCAGTCCAGGGAGGACGGACAGGTCAAGGGGGCGGGATGAGGTTAGTCGGTAGGAGATGGGGGTGCGGCTTGAGGTGGGAGGAGGGGATAGGTGGGAGGAAGAACAGGTTAGGGAGGCGGGGACGAGCTGGGCTGGTTTTGGGATGTGGTAGGGGGAGGGGAGATTTTGAAGCTTGTGAAATCCACATTGATACCATTGGGCTGCAGGGTTCCCAAGCGGAATATGAGTTGCTGTTCCTGCAACCTTCGGGTGGCATCGTTGTGGCACTGTAGGAGGCCCAGGATGGACATGTCATCTGAGGAATGGGAAAGGGAGTTGAAATCGTTCGCGACTGGGAGGTGCAGTTGTTTATTGCGAACTGAGCGTAGGTGTTCTGCAAAGTGGTCCCCGAGCCTCCGCTTGGTTTCCCCAATGTAGAGGAAGCCACACCGGGTACAGCGGATGCAGTATACCACATTGGCAGATGTGCAAGTGAACATCTGCTTGATGTGGAAAGTCTTCTTGGGGCCTGGGATGGGGGTGAGGGAGGAGGAATGGGGGCAGGTGTAGGACTTCCTGCAGTTGCAGGAAAAGTGCCGGCTGTGGTGGGGCTGGAGGGGAGTGTGGAGCAGACAAGGGAGTCATGGAGAGAGTGGTCCCTCCAGAAAGCAGATAAGGGTAGGGAGGGAAAGATGTCTTTGGTGGTGGGGTCGGACTGCAGATGGCAGAAGTGTCGGAGGATGATGCATTGGATCTGGAGGTTGGTGGGGTGGTACGTGAGGACGAGGGGGATTGTTTTTTGGTTCTTATTGCATGGACGGGGTGTGAGGGATGAGTTGCGGGAGATGTGGGAGACACAGTTGAGGGCGTTCTCGACCACTGAGAGGGGGAAGTTACGGTCCTTGAAAAACGAGGACAACTGAGATGTACGGGAGTGGAATGCCTCATCTTGGGAGCAGATGCGGCGGAGGCGAAGGAATTGGGAATAGGGGATAGCATTTTTGCAGGAAGATGGGTGGGAGGAGGAGTATTCTGGGTAGCTGTGGGAGTCGGTGGGTTTGAAATGGATATCGGTTTCAAGGTGGTTGCCCGATATGGAGACAGAGAGGTCCAGGAAGGGGAGAGAGGTGTTAGAGATGGTCCAGGTAAACTTAAGGTTGGGGTGGAAGGTGTTGGTGAAGTGGATGAACTGTTCGAGCTCCTCGTGGGAGCACGAGGCGGCGCCTATACAGTCATCAATGTAACGGAAGAAGAGGTGGGGTTTAGGGCCGGTGTAGGTACAGAAGAGGGATTGTTCCACGTAACCTACCGAGTGTCAGGCGTAGCTTGGGCCCATGCGGGTACCCATGGCCACCCCCTTTGCCTGTATGAAGTGGGAGGAATTGAAAGAGAAGTTGTTGAGGGTGAGGACGAGTTTGTTTAAGTGGATGAGGGTGTCGGTGGAGGGGGACTGGTCGGGCCTGTGGGACAGGAAGAAGCGGAGGTCCTTGAGGCCATCTGCATGGGGAATGCAGGTGTAGAGGGACTGGACGTCCATGGTAAAGATGAGGTGTTGGGGACCGGGGAATTGGAAGTTCTGGAGGAGGTGGAGGGCGTGGGTGGTGTCACGGACATAGGTAGGGAGTTCCTGGACCAAGGGGGAGAAAATGGAGTCCAGATAGTTGGAGATCAGTTCGGTGGGGCAGGAGCAGGTGGAGTCAATGGGTCGACCAGGGCATTCAGGTTTGTGGATTTTGGGAAGGAGATAGAAGCGGGCATTGCGGGGTTGGGGAACGATGAGGTTGGAGGCCGTGGGTGGCAGGTCACCTGAGGTGATGAGGTTGTGGATGGTTTGGGAGATGATGGTTTGGTGCTCAGGGGTGGGGTCATGATCAAGGGGGCGGTAGGAGGAGGTGTCGGAGAGTTGGCGTCTGGCCTCGGCGATGTAGAGGTCAGTGCGCCATACTACAACTGCACCTCCCTTGTCCACGGGTTTTATGGTGAGGTTGGGAATGGAGCGGAGGGAGCGGAGGGCTGCACGTTCTGCGGGGGAGAGGTTGGAGTGGGTGAGAGGGGTGGGGAGGTTGAGACGATTGATGTCTCGATGGCAGTTGGAGATGAAGAGGTCAAGGGAGGGCAGGAGGCCTTGGGGTGGTGTCCAGGAGGAGGGGGTGTGTTGGAAGCGGGAGAATGGGTCAGTAGAGGGAGGGTTAGGTTCACGGTTGAAGAAGTCAGCGTGGAGGCGGAGGCGGCGGAAAAACTGCTCTATGTCCAACCGTGAGCGGTATTCGTTGATGTGTGGGTGGAGGGGGACACAGGTGAGCCCTTTACTGAGGACTGACCGTTCGTCTTCAGTAAGGGGTAGGTCTGGGGGGGATGGTGAAAACTCGGCAGGGCTGGGTGCTGCTGTCACCTCTGGAGGTGCTGGCTGTGGAGGCTGTGGGCGGAGCGACGTCGGCGTCGGCTGTGGGCGGAGTTGCGTCGGCGTCGGCTGTGGGCGGAGTTGCGTCGGCGT